TATAAATTTACTTAGCTGACTTATTTCCAATCAGAAAGTGCTGTAGATAATAATGAATAAGGCCTTTTGACCTATTCGTCCGTGGACTTACGGATTTATAAAAGCCCCCAGGTCAATTGAACTAAAGCCTCAAGAATTACGAAAGGATGATTCGGATTTGGGTGATAGGCTTACTTGACGAAAAACATTCTCTCCTACCATTGTCTAGAAATATAAAGGTAATATTTACAAATAAAATGTCTGATATCATATATTGTATGATTATATCTCACAAAATAAACATACAGAAACATATCAAATTAAAAGTTTGGATATGCTGTAAAGTAGTTAATTTGAGAATCAGTATCATTTGCAAAGGGATTTTTCCTGATAAAATTTTTGCTTTAGCCATTCCGTCATTTTATTTGCAAGCAACAAGGAAAGGCTAGACCGAAGTGAAAATAAACGAATATTGCTACCAAAATGCAATAACTATACAATAAATGAGATTCAACCCCGAATTCGAGACAAACAAGCAATGGAGCAAATGAGTCGACTAAAATCAATCAATCGGGTTAAGAAATATGGAAGGTAAAAATAACAGGTTGATAGACCTAAAGCTGGTGAGATCATTCTTTTATTTGATATGAAAATTATGTACCAAAATGGCCATGAGATGTACAACTGATTAAGAAAAGATCAAAAATCAATGGCTGATCGTGTTCGATTAGAAGTTGATGGACATGAAACTACACCTTGCGAATACCGACTGGAGGTTTCAGACAACGAAGGAGGTAAATGCAAATGCTGAAAATGAAAAAGTGTAGTGATTCAGTGGGAAATTCTTTATAAAAATGCAAAATTAATACAAGTAAAAAAATGAATGTTGAAAGGAATAAATTACTAAGTATATTTGCTAGCAAAATATCGTGCAAACTATTCTTAATAAGAAGTTGTTTGACCTTGTTTTCGCAACTTTGTCATATTTGTAGGAGCTCACATAGTCCGGAGTCCATTGTATGCGCGATAATTTGAGTCGGACCATGGAAGTGGCACATCCCCTGACGTTTCGCCGGCATCGTCAGCAAGTTTTGCCACTGTTAGCACCATACTACAACTTGTCAGAGACAAGTGAAGCCGATCCTTTGACTAAACGCGTGCTAAACAGTTGTGGTATCTCTCCTTCAGTCCTGGGCTAGTCACATTTCCTATATATTCGTATCACACATTCACTGTTACAATTTTTCCTTGCTTATTTAAATCTAGTGTACTGTGCCATTTTGAGTGGCTTTCATGAGAACCCTCCACACTCCCCGCTGACGTTTTCACCCCCCCTCACCCTTGTGCTGGGAATGCTGATCAGTCTGCCATATTGTAACTCAGTTATTCCCTACGTCTTATCACAGTCTCTCTCTTGCTCCGTAGGATTCGTCTGTTATCTCCCTGGTTCGAGTATTTCGCTCGATCCCTGCCACTCCATCTATGCTCCACGAAGCGTCAATACTCAACCACTGCGTCTGGCTAACTAATTAGTCTAAAGCCTATAAGTAAGTCTCGTGGTCGAGCCTTTGCTATATGGACCACGTCTATGTTAAGAGACCTACTGTGAACCAACTAACTCTAATCTCTGCCGCGTCTATCCCGTTTCTATCCGTAATACCAAGTCTATGACTTCCCGTGTCTTAGTCTCTTGTGTGCCAACACACAAATGTTGTGGTTCACATTGAACCTAATCAAAGCAAACAGTATCACAGCATTTGTGGGTTGAGACACAAGAGACTAGAGATAGTTGGCTAACAGTAGGCTTGCTTTACCATAGGCGTGGTCCAAATAGCAAAGGCTCGACCATGAAACTTACTTAGAGGCTTCAGACACGAATTAGTCACCCAGACGCAGGGGATGGGTAATAACGCCTCGTGGAGCAGAGATGGAGTGGCAAGGGTCGAGTGAAATACTCAAACCAGGCGGATCCTACAAGGCAGGAGGGAGACCGTGATAAGACCTAGGGAAGGAGGACTGCGTAACAATATAACAATCTCATTAACTTTCCAAGTATAAGGGTGAAGGGGAGTAAGAAATTCAGCGTGGAGTGCGGAGGGTTCTCATGAAAGTCGCTCAAAATGACACGACAGATTTAAATAAACAAGGAAAATTGTAACAGTAAAAACACGTACGAGGTAGAAGAGATACCACAACGGTTTAGCACATGTTTGGCCAAAGGATCGGCTTCACTTGTCTCTTTGACGAGTTATTGTGTGGTGCTAAAAATGGCGCGACTCACTGACAATGCCGGCGAAGCGTCTGAGAATGTACCACGTCCACGGTCCGACTCTGGAAATTAGCATGCATACAATGGACTCCGGACTACATGTGTTCCTCTAAGTCTTCCTACCAATATAAAAAAAGTTGCGAAAACAAGGTCAAATAACTTATATATAACGAAAGGATACCGCGACCACACAAAATGTCACACCATCTTGGTCTTCATATCCTTAATAAGGCCCATGAAAATAAATCCTGTGACAAACACATACAATTTACAGATATATTGAGTAGATCATATGTATAGATGTAAACAGAAAACATTTCGAGTATAGTTCTTATATAAAAGCATTAAGGAAGCTAAGTATAGAAAATTTAATGAACACAGAAAAATGGTCAAATATGGAGCAACCCAAATTACAAAAATATAAATCTATAGCATTTAACAATATACCTGCAAAATGAATTGTTTCTTTCTAACTTTGAATGTCCAGGTTAGCGTCAGAGGTCGTAACGCTGGCTCCAGTGAACCAGAATTTCCAAACCCCATCCAAGGTAAGCCCCCAAATACAGTAAGCATCCCATCGTACTCATCTAAAGGATTTGCAATAGCTTCTTTTGAATAAATTTCTTTATCAAATGATCTAATATTGAAGATGAAATCAGCCAGCCCATATACCCGATCAGTAAGTTCGGAAATCTGGAGGGAGAAATTGAGAATTACTAAGTGGGCAAGAGGAAATTTCACAGGTAAGTATTGTGTAGTATAAAAATTAAAAAAACACACCTGAAAAAGAGAACGAGGGAGAAACATGTATACAACAGCTAGAGACCCACGAGTAAGAAATCTCAGAGTGGAGATAAAACTAACGACCGCATGAAAAATATTTTCACTTCTACCATAAAATATGGAAGCAAAAGAGTTAATAACTAGGCTAGTTAGAAGAAAATTAAACAAACCGATTCTCCGAATATTTTTAGGACTGGAATTATAGATGCATTTAGTAAGTTTTTCAATAAGTTCAGACGTATTATCTTCAAGACTTCGTGTTGAATCAGTGAGAAATTCCGTAAGCGAAACATTCCTCGTTTTGGCATATTCCTCTAAATTCAATCTCTTAGACAGATCAAAGGCATGCCCAAGTCGCTTTGCTCGTCCAATATTCTGTAAATCAGGAACAATCGCATGATACCTGTGAGAGGCTTAGATTACGGTAGTTAAAGGCAATTTCTAGTTTTTCATTTGTAGGTGCCTCTTCAAAAGGAACTTCCGCTTCACCGGGCAGGTTCTGCAGAATGTGGCCATTTAAGAGCATACATTAAGTAAGGTTTCCATCGAATCATCGCCGCCAACATAGAATATATCATGACCAGAAGTTATTCCCTCAGCTATAAAAAGTTGCTGAAAAATTCGTGAATAAGTGCGATATGAATCCTCCTCTGTTACAAATCGTTTCTTTATATATATTTACCAAATATCACCAAACTTCCAATAGGAAAACCTCCGCCTAAACAAATAAATACACGCAAGTCACTACAGACCTATAAGTTCATTAAATGTGGTTATTCCAGAGGACGTAATTAGATTAGATGATTTGGCACACCGTTTTACGCCCGATAACTTAGCAGCAACCGAAGCCATATCTAACTTAGAGAATTCAGAAGTTAGATCCATGAAAGGAGATACGTAAAGGTTAGAGAGAGCGGGCTCCAGCCGATGAAAAAAAGGGGCACCAAGATAATTAAAAGTAAACATAAACTATTCTTCAGTTCAAGTATGAAATCTAGCCTGCTTAATAAATCATAAATTATACTTTTAAAATTATTCATATAATTTGCTTTTGCATAGCTCATTATTTTCTCAAACCTAAAATTGTTTCGAAGAGGTTGTGGCCTCTTGTATTATCGCAGTCTCCTTTCGATCTATAGAAATGGTTTGATCTTGTTATCGCAACTTAATCTTGTTGTCAGGGTGACTATGTAGAACGCACCTATTTCGAAGTCGTCTGCCATAGTAGTTGTTATGATTCCTAGCATCTGACAGTGGACTTGATACATTCTCAAACATA